CCCTTGCCAGTAGAGACAAGGGCGACGGCAACAGCGTTCTTCTTGCGGCCAAAGGTTTGGCAGCGTTCCTCCTTTACAGCGTTGTAAGACATATCCTACGACGGGCGGACAGCAACCGGGAAGGCAAGAGTGACCAAAAGGAAAGGACTCGCTCGCCCATACGATCTATCCAAGGATAGCGTGAATTTTAGGAAGTTTAAAATCTCGCTCGCCCAGATGATCGATAAAGTTGCAGCGAGCCCCTGAGAGGCCCTAGATCAGCCCCTACCTCCGATCGAGACTCAGCATGCCTACTAAGCGTCGTAATAACGGACGTTCCAAGCACGGACGCGGCCATACCTGCATCTTGAGGTGCTCTAACTGTGCCAGGGCCGTCCCTAAGGTATTAATTTGGACGATGGGGTTGTTGGTTAGGGCGTATGGTAATGCTTCTCATCTTCAATGCTTTCACCATGGATTGGCACTCTGGGAAGTGGTGAATTACCAGAGGAATGAGCTTACTATGTATGATCGAGGGATCTCATCCTTGTTGTGTTTAGGATAAGGCCATCAAGCGCTTCAACGTGAGGAACATCGTCGATGCCTCTTCCCAGAGGGATATCCGCGAGGCCTCTGTCTACCAGTCTTACGCTCTCCCTAAGCTTTTCATCAAGCAGGTAAGGATTACCTCACAGCCTCCTTTGTAGCTATGGGTTGCTCTCTGGCAGGTGTACTGCGTTTCCTGCGCTATTCACGCTCGTGTCGTTCGTGTGCGTTCCGCCGAGAACCGTCGCGTCCGTGAGGCCCCTCCTCGCCGCGGTGCTCCCCAGAGGAACTAAACTGCTGATGTTGGCATCTAGTAAGTGGCAGTTTGATGGTTGTTGGAAGAGCTCTACTGAGTAGTCGGCTGCTGAGGCTACGGGACTTTGCACAATTTACGCGAGTTGTGTTGGGTTACGTATGGGGGATCGCGGCTTCTTATCAACTGTTCATTACGAGAGAAGGATATGCTCTGGAGTAAACTCGTTTTTGGATGATACTTCTTGTGTCGAAAGTGTATCATTATTGCATCACCATCTGTATTGAGGGCATAGGGTGTGGTCTTGCACAACGTCGAACTGTGTTCATGGACAGTTCATCGTCAATAGTCTATAAGAGGTCTCCAGAATCCATTGTGGATAACTATCTACAGGCCTCTTTTTGATTCTGTAGTTGTAATCTTCATCGAGTTTCTTTGTGTTACGGTAGTTTCAGGATCTTAATTGGTAGGTTTCATCCTGCTCGCCATGGAGTAGTATCTTTTCTAGCTCGGCTGCGTCTTGTATGCCGCATGGCTGTGGTTTCCCACTTCAAGGAGGGAAGAGGCTGTACGAGTACTATGATTTCGGTGGTAATTATCGTCCATAAAGTAATCGAGTTCGGTCTGGGGTTCTCCGATGCCGCCTGTGGTGTTTAGCGTTCTTACGTTGGGGATGCTGCACCTGCCTCAGCGTCGACTTGCACTATTGCTTGGCTCCAGACAATAATGACCTCTTCAACTTTTCGTATCCTTACCGCTCTCTTCCGAGTTTTCCTTCACTCTGATACGCTACTAGTGACCATTCTCCCTGTCTGTTGAGCAGTAGCGTCTTGACAGCCGCTGAGTTGTTTAGATCATCGACACGAAGTCAGAATGTAATCATCCGACATGACCCAACTCGTAATCTGGGATTCTGATTGCGGGTTGTGAATGATGGGAAGGATGAGCTGACCGACTGACTGAAACTACGATTATTCATAGGACACACTAAGGAGGTTGTGGGGTATCCAGTGTGGTCATTGGT